GGATCTTAAGGCAGCCGTGACAATACAACTAAAGACACAAATGGAGACTTCCAGAACTACTTCAGAAACTGGCAAGAAGAATGGGCTAAGTGTGCTCAAGGTCAATAGTATTCTGAGGCAATCATGGCATTTTGAGGTAAATTATTGTAACAACTTTTTTAATGTAAACTTTCACCACAGCTTTCCATCACATCCTATACACTCACACTTTCTTGTCAAAATCCTATTTGTTCTTTTAACTGCAACCAAATACCACATTCCTCATAAAGGTGTCTCCAATCTCCCAGTCAGAATTAAACTCTATTTCCATGACTCTTCTATATTTCACACTGGTACTGTGATATCTCACATAAAGATCCTCAGAATACAAGCCAAGTCAGTTACCTTTTTCTTCCTAAATATCTAACTCAGAACCACTTGCGTAGCACAGTTTCCCAAAGAGAACTCTAAGGTGATGAGAAAACACTTTGTAAAAGAGTAAGCATTCAGCTGGGAGTGGTGGCACACATCTGTAACCCCAGCTTCATGGGAGGCTGAGGTAGGAAGACAGAAAGATTGAGGCCAGCCTAGGCAATTTAGCAAAATGCTTTCTCAAAATAACCTTTAAAAAAAGTCTGGAGATGTAGCTCAGTGGTAGAGCTAGCCCAGCATATGCAAGGCCCTGGGTTCAATCCTCAGTTGGGGAGGGGGCCACCTACAGTAGTCACTGGTTGTTTCTGTTCTGGTTTGCTATAGAACCTATGCGACTGAAAGTGTCTGCTGCTATTCTTTGCTTTTTGCAGCCACACTGACAGGTTTCTGACATACTCAAGACTTCTCCAAAAATCCTTTTATCATCACTTCCTAATGAATTGTGTATTCATTTTATAAGTATAGTAATTTTTAAGAATGCAATACTAGTTCTAGAATCTGGCTGGCCTATTCTTTTATTTATCCAGAAACTGTTTCAGATTACAAATCGCCTACAAACATGGATTTAGGACCAGACTGACAGACCTGCTCAATATCAACTGAGTCTCTGTATAAGGCTACTGAACCTCTGAGGCTGTATTTCTTTATCTACAAACTGAGAAATAGTATTCATGCTTTTTGAGTTTTTGAGAAGTAAGACTCAATGAGAATTACATTCAATTAAATGAACCTGTTATATAGGTCAACAAAATATCTGGCTTTTAACCTATTCTCAATATAAATGAGCTATTATTTTTAGAATTATGGTACTATCAATCTATACAAGCTATTATTTTAAAAATACTATAAGTATCCTTCAAAGTTTACTGATACTAGGGGCCGGGGATTTAGCTCAGTGGTTCGCAAGCACAAGGACCCAAGTTCGATCCTCAGCACAAAAAAAAAAAAAAATTTACTGATACCAATATTGGTATGCCAATATTAAAATCCATGAAAAAACTAAGGAGTCTTTTACCAAAGACTCAAGGTTCTATTCACAATTAACCTCAATTTATAAATTCATATATTAAAATTTCTAAATTCAAATCTTTTGCTAGCAGTAATCAATTAAAAGCTCTTTCAACATCTGCTCTGGACAAAAACTACCCAGGGACTGAATCAACAGAAAACCAAATCATGCAAGGCATGACAGGAATAATTCAGTATCAACTTAATAACCTAAGAGTGATGCTAGTGTTCAAATTGCTTTATGATCCTTGGATTTGAACTGAGATATTTTTTAAAAAGCAGAATACCAAATTGTACTTACATGACTTCAGATATGGAAAAGCTGCATAAGCATATGTTACACTGCTCAGCAAACAGTTGTATCTACATTTGCAGCAACAAAACTAGTATCTGATTTTGTTGTTGTTTGTTGGTTTTGCAGTGCTAGGGACTGAATACAGTCCTATCAGGCATGATAGGCACTTTATTAATGTTAGTCAAATTTTATTTGTATAATAAAAAATGTAATTAAATTATCAAACACTGAAAATTTCCAAATATCCCTCTTTTCAGTTAAAAGAAAAATAGGAAAAGAATTAAAAGTGCAAGAGGTTCATTGTCCTGTTATGTCTAAGGAGAGGCACAGGGCCAATTTCATGGCTTTATGGAACTCCTCAGAATCTGAAAAATCCCCAGATACAACTATCAATTCATGGGTGACTATGCAGACAGACATTATTCTGTGAAGACTGTGACTTCTTGTAGCATTATAGGTGTGTTATCCTTAACACCTTACAATACTGAGAAGGATCACCAGAGCCAACAAATTACCGAAGTATATGGCTTTTATGATGAATATCAATGAAAATATGGAAATGCCAATGTTCAGAAATATTTTACAGATCTGTTTATCTTCCAATTGAAACTTCAATACACTGGATCATATAAGAGCCCTGGCTCATTTACAAGTAGTTCCCGGTGAGGGCCCAATGTGTGATCTATTATAGTCAGATGCCGATGATTGTGGTGGACGGGGTATCTCACAAAGTGATGCTGGCTACATATCTGGACATTTCCGAAGCATTTAACTATGCCAATGGTCTCACAATGGTTTCTCATGCCCTCCAGCTTTAATGGAGAAATACAACTAGTGCCATGCCTGGGATGTAGTTACCGTATTTATTCAATGAACCCAATTGCCATTACTGTTGTCGGAAGTAGGCTGCTAACATGGAACTTGAAGACATCTTAAAATATTATATTCTTATCTTAAGTACAAACTAGTGCCTCATCGTGGAGATCCTGTTACCCAGCACACCCCAGACTACTTCTTATAAATTCCTTCTGGGGAAAACTGCCTTTGTATGTGTAAGTATACATATACATATATACATACATATATACTGCCTTTGTATGTGTAAGTATACATATAATACATATATACATATACATACATATACACACACATACATATATGTATATATGTATGCATTAGCAACAGTAATTTTCATTTCTGTAACAAACTCTTTATCTGTCTTGGCATTAATCCACATCTGGACCAAAATGTGCCACATTAATGATAAGCATTTGGTACAATTTGAGACTGAAATTTAGTATACTATGTTCTAGATGGTCAATCTAACAGTTTACCTGATAGCTAACTGTAGCACTGTAACTATTTTCCTCAAGCAAAACGGGTACCTGCTTCATCTCCTGGACTTATTCAGAAATTTTAATTAAGATGTTAAACAGTCATGGATTAAGAGAGCTGCAGTTTTACTTTTTTAAGAAAAATTCACAGGATGACTTCCACCTTATCTGTTACCCATTATATTACTGAAGTGTGTAACTAAGATTCTTCTTGGGAGTATATTGTCATAACATTAAACAGATTAACCTTCATTTAAAAAAACAAAAAGTATACTTTTCTGAATGTGTATCATACCTTAATAAAAATTCATTTTAAAATTTCTCTTCTTTTGTTAACTCTAGTACTCATCTTTGTTTTGTAACTTCTGCAGCTGCTGACTTCAAAGAATGTGTCAGGAACAGTTAAGAAAACCCGACTCCAATGTTGCACTTCCTAGGCTGCAATCTGAGCACGTACACTTACATAAACTGGATCTTATTTGTGTGGTTTTGCATAAATTATCTAACTTCCCTGTACCCTAGTTCTCTCTAGTTGGAAAACTACAGTATAATTTCAACTGAATGTAAGCATTATATGGAATAGTATATATAAAGAGTGTATCCCAGATCCTAGCACAACAATGTTACCTGGCAAAACGATTGCTAATTCATCTGCTAGACAGGAAAGTTTCTTGAAAGTGGTAACATCTTTCTACATCATTGTAGACCTTGCTTATATAAGTCGCAACAAAACTAAATTTAAAGCCATCACCCCACAGGCCTGGCTAAGGTACCCTTCCGACACATAGTCCCATAATTCCCTGAACAAAGCACACCTGTCACTCAACGCAAGAGTCATTTGCTATTTTGTCTCCAACACCTGATACTGTAAGCAGGTCTACCTTGTTCACTTCATCTCCACTAAACGCCTCCTAACATTGGCTACCGAAGTGAACAAATGCCTTGGGGCCTCCCCTTGCCCTGTGAGAGGAACTTAAAAATTATGCGTTTATTATTTGTCTCTGCCCTCTCCTCCCCAGTGAAAGCACAGCCACTCAATCTATCTTGTTCACTGATGCACGTAATTATCCTCTACTGGACCTGATATAACAGCGGGCCCAAAATATATGAAAGGATTTGTTGTTGTTGTTGTTGTTGTTCTGGTTTTAGTTTTCGATGTTATGGTGTGTTGACATATATATATATATATATA